TCTGTCTCTCTGTCTCTGTCTCTCTCTTCCTTTTAAGAAAAAAAGTTTCTCTGTGTAGTCCTGGCTGTCCTGGAGCTCACTCTGTAGAGACCAGGCTGCCCTCAAACTCAGCGATCCCCCTCTGCCTCCTGAGTGCCAGGATTAAATGTGTTTAAATGATTAAGTGGTTTAAATGATTAAACCACTGCCTGGCTGATTTTTTTTTTTTTTTTAGTTGACTCATTCTCATTTGAAGTGGGTAGACCCTCCTTCTCCTCTTTTAAACTCCTTCTCTCATACAGTGCAGCCCTGTGTAGCTTCCCCTTCTCCCACTCTTCCCCGCCTCCCATCCATTGCTTCTCCACTTCCTTTTAGAAATAAGCAGGCCTCCCAGTGATATCAGCTGAGCACAGCATAACAAGATACAATAAGGCCAGTCACAAGCCGCCATATCAAGGCTGGATGAGGTAACCCACTAGGAGAAAGAGGGTCCCAAGAGCAGGCAAAAGAGTCAGAGATACCCCCCACACACACACACACACATACACTGTTAGGAGCCCCACAAACAACCACAGCATGTATGCAGTGGACCTGATGAGGACCCGTGATTGCCACTTCAGTCTCTGTGAGCCCTGCTCATTTGATTCTGTGGTCAGTCATGTTTGGTTCCACCCTCGGTCTCTGGGCTGTCCAGCTTCTCAGTCCTGGCCATCCAGGCAGTGTCAGGCATGCGCTCTGTGTCCTGGCGTGGGCCTCATGTTAGGCCAGTCATTGGTTGGCCTCTCCCCCAGGCTCTGAGCCACCATTGCCTCAGCACATCTTTCAGGCAGGACGGGTGAGTGGCTGGGGTGGTGTCCCCGCCCACCACTGGGAGCACTGCCCAGGAACTGAAGACAGCGGGGTCAGGCTCTGTACCCTCCATTACTGGGAGTCTCGCTGCAGTTACTGTCAGGCTCCAGGAAGTTTCCACGTCATCCCTGAGATGCCTCCCTGTTCCAGTCATCTGTCCCCGTGCTCTCACCCTCCATCTCTTCCTTCTCCACCTGATCCATCTTTTCTCATCCCCACCCAACCCCAGTCTGTCTGTTTCCCTTGAAGCCCTTCTTGCTCATCTTCCCTGGTCTGTGGACTGTACTGTGGTGGTCTTTAACAGCCAATATCCACTTAGAAGTTGGCACGTACCGTGTTTGTCTTTCTGGGTCTGCGTTGCCTTGCTCAGGATGAATTTTTCTAGTTTCATCCATTTACCTGCGGATTGCATGATGTCATTTTTTCTAACATAATACTCCATTGTGTAAATATACCGTGTTTCTTTACCCATTATCGGTTGAGGGACATCTGGTTTGTTTTTAGTTTCTGACTGTTATGAATAAAGCAGCTATGAACTCAGTCGAACAAGTGTCCCTGTGGTAGGGTGGAGTGCCCTTTGGGTATATGCCCAAGAGTGGTATAGCTGGGTCTTGAGGTAGAGCTATTCCCAATTTTCTGAGGAACCTCCATGTTGATTTCCGCAGTGACCATACACGTTTGCACCCCACCAGCAATGGAGGAGTGTTCCTCTTGCTCCGCATCCTCACCATCATGGGCTGTCACTTGTGTTATTCATCTTAGCCATCCTGACAGATGTAACGTGGACTCTCAAAGGTGTTTTGATTTGCATTTCCCTGGTGGCTAAGGATGCTGAACATTTCTCTGAGTGTTTCTCAGCCATTTGAGATTTCTCTGTGGAGAATTAGGGAAGACCCACTTCTAATCTGGGAAGATCCCCCTCTGCTCTGGGCCACACCTTCTGGAAGCCTAAATAAAGGACAGGGAAGCTTGCTGCCTTTGCCTGCTTGCTTTTGCGGTCTCTGGCGAGTCCATCCCTTCACTGGCCTTAGAGACTCCTTCTTTGTGATCCTGGGGCATACTGCAGACCACAGAGACATCCAGACTCATGGACTGAACACCCGCTGGGTTCTTGGACTTCTATTGGTAGACAGCCATTGTTGGGTTAACTGGACCACAGCCTGTATGCCATTCTAATAAATCCTCTTTCTTTATATGTAGATTCGTTCTCTAAGTTTTGGTCCTCTAGAGAACACCGAATAGTACAGCATCGTGTGCAGTTAAGTTGGCATTTATTTCGTGTCAGTGGGGACAGAGCACTCTTTCCTGAAGATGCATGTAGTTTATTGAACTAGCTCCCGCTGATAGAGAATTTCCTTTTTTGAGACATGGTTTCTCTGCATAGCCTTGGCTGCCCTCAACTCTTTGTAGACCAGGCTGGCTTCAAACTCACAGCAATCGCCTGCCTCTGCCTCCCAGAGTGCTGGGATTACAGGTGTGCGCCACTACACCTGGCATTTGTTTTTCGTTTTGTTTTTTTACAAGTCAGTTCAGGTCATTTATATGTATTGGAATAATTACCATTTGGCCTTTGTTTGCTTTTCAATTTTATGAAATAATTTTTTCCCCTGGACTGTAATGGCGCCTACACTTAGCACTTGGGAGGCAGAGGCAGGTGGATCTCTGTGAGTTTGAGACCAGTATGGTCTACAGAGTGAGTTCCAGGACAGCCAAGGCTACACAGAGACACCCTGTCTCAAAAAACAAAAATAAGTAAAATAAAAATTCACACTATGTATACTGTGCCTACATTTATGTAATCTGATAATTAGGAAAAATTTAAAGATTTATTTATTGTGTATATTGTCTGCCTGTGTGCCTGCATACCAGAAGAGGGCAGCAGATCTCATTATAGATTGTGAGCTGCTATGTGGTTACTGGGAATTGAACTCAGGACCTCTAGAAGAGCAGACAGTGCTCTTAACCTTTGAGCCATCTCTCCAGCCCTAGTTTGAAAATTGTATGTATTCTAGTGATTGTACTTATAACTCCTTTTTAAATTAGGATTATTTATTTGTTGTATATATGTATATGTGTGAGTGTGTGCATATCATGATAAACGTGTAGAGGTCAGAGGACAGCTTACAGGGCTTGGCTGGCCTTTCATCCTGTGGGTCCTGGGATTGAACTCAGATCTTCAGGTTTGGCAGTAAGTGCCTTTCCCCGCTGAGCCATCCTGGCAACCTCAGATCATCTTTATTGTTACATATTACCCCACAGAAAAACACATGAGCCACAAATGTGTGGCGTGATAGCTTGGTGGATAATCATTCCCCAGATGCCCCGCCCCTATGTTCCTTCTTTGTTCGCCGCCCCTTCCCCTCCACAAAGAGCCACACCCTTTTCTGCTAACCATTCCACTTCTGTTCTAGACAGGGTCTGACTGTGTGTCCCTGACTAGCCTGGAACTCACTGTGTAGACTGGCTGGGCTCAGATTCACAGAGATCCCCCTGCCTCTGCCTCCGCCTCCCAAGTGCTGGGATTAAAGCTGTGGATGACATGCAAACAGAAAGACGGAGTGTCCACTCTGCACACTTAGCTTTGGCTCAGATGCTTAGAGATGGACTCATGTGGCTGCCCACAGGCTCGTTTCCCAGGGTCACTGGTGTGTCATGTTCTGTGACCATGTTACCGTTTATCTCACCAGCCCTTGTAGAGGGAGACGAGGAGTTTCTCCCGGGAGTCAGAGGAACCATGGTGATAGTTTTAGGTGTGCCTCTGCTCCACATGCCTCTGTACTTTCGTTAAGGCAGGTATTTGCGGGGGAGAGGGCTGCAGAGATGGCTCAGCAGTTCCCAGCACCTACGTGGCAGTCGTAGCTGTCTGTAAGTGCAGTTTCAGAGTTCCAGTGCTCATCTCTGGCTGCCTCGGGCATCGGGCACACAAGTGGTACAGACATAGATGCAGGCCAAAGGCCCGTGCACATAAAAAGAAACAGAGTCTCTCTATGTCTCTATGTAGCTCTAGCTGGCCTGGAACCCTATGTAGATCAGGCTGACTTTGAACTCACAGAGATCCACCTGCCTCTGCCTCCTGAGTACTGGAATTAAAGGTGTGCGCCACCACACCTGGTCAGCAGCTTTATTTTCAAAGATAGGTATTTTGGAGTGAATATACTGGGTCTTAGGTTATACATAGCTCATTCTTCCTGGAGGCCACATTGGTTTGTTTGTTTGTTTGTTTGTTTGTTTGTTTTTGAGACAGGGTTTCTCTGAGTAGCTAGCCCTTGGCTGTCTGGACTTGATTTGTAGACTAGGCTGGCCTCAAGCTCACAGCAATATGCCTGCCTCTGCCTTCCTCAGTACTGGGATTACAGGCATGCACCACTGCATTTTTTAATTTTTAAAAATAATTTTTAGTGAAACTGGAGTTCATGAAAAGGCGGTTTTTAACATTGATTTAAGCAGATTTTTATAGAACCTGCTGTGTAGGCTTCCTGCAGATCTAAATGCCGGAAGTGCCCAACTTACAAACTCTCCAAAGGTAAGAAAGTTGCAGGAGTCACTAGTCCCTCCCACTCCTGACAGTAAGCTGTCCCCAGGAAAAGGGAACTGTCTCCGGTGCAGCTGCCTGCCAGCTGTGCAGAGCGCTCCAGGAGCGCAGCTTTCAGGGGTGGTCCCTGTCGGCGTGGCTTTCAGGGAAGCAGCGGTCTCTGAGTGGCTGTGCTTCTGGGAGTAATGCCATCCAACTCACTGGTTCTCCAAGCTGGACTTGGGAGGGATGGTTTCCCTGGTTCATTGGTGGTGTCCCTTCTGAGGAGAAGAGATGTTTGTTCACATCTTCCCAGGAAGTCATCCAACAGAGGTGCTCAGGGAAGTAATCCATGCTTCCCTTCGTGTGTGCTGTTGCTTTGCTGTCTTCAGTATCCTCATTTCACAGTGAAAAGGCAGCCTCAGAGGACTCCACTAACTGTTGCATGTTCACATTGGTATCTAGTGATGACACTAGGATTCTGCCCTCACAGGCTCTGAAGCCTGTGGTCTTGCACGCTGCCTTGTTTGTTTGACTTGGTAGGCCATTGTCTTTTGGACTGGTCAGGTGTCACTCCTGGAGCAGGCTTCTTCCCCCAGTCACACCATGCTCTCGGGGCATGCTTAGCTTCCTCACTAACCCTGTGTCTCCCTGCTTCTAGCATTCAGCCTGTGTACGGAGCTCAGCATCCTCCTCTGGATCCTCGGCTCACCAAAAAGTAAGTCAAGACCTTGTCCCTTTACACAGCTTTGGCCACGGCCCACCTGTCTCCTCTACTTTGCTGAGTGACTGGCCTTCTCAGCTGCTTTTCTGCCCTGGGTGGACCAGGAACAATCTTCTCACTATGAAGATTCTCACTAGAGAATAGACCAGGCTGGCTTTGAACTCACAGAGCTCTACCTCCCTCTGCCTCCTGAGTGCTGGAATTTTAAAGGCATGCAACACATTTTTTTTTTTAAACTTTGTATGAATGTGTGTTTGCCTGAACGTATGTGTATGCCCTGTGTGGGTGCATCACAGAGCCTTGGGTGTCCTGGAACTGAGGTTGCGGGCAATTGTGAGTCACCATGTGGGTGCTGGGAGCTAAAGTCAGGTCTGTAGCCATAATTTTTGGCTACTTTATTTGGTTCCTATATTTACTACCCTTCTCTACCCCAGTTTCTTCCAACTTCCCAACACTAGGTAGGTGAAAAAGAAGGTTGGAGGGGACAGGGGTAGAGGCTTTCTTAGACTGCTTCCTGCTGATTAGAGGCATCGGGTTCCTAGGGACAAGTCCAGTCTTCATCAGAATATCCAGCAGTCCAGCCATAGCAACTGTGACACCAGGATCCAGAAGCATCAGGAGGAGCAGAAGTCGCTACAGGCCCTCTCAGGGCTTCCCCAACTGCTTTTTTTTGTTTTTTTTTTTTGAGACAGGGTTTCTCTGTGTAGCCTTGGCTGGACTTGCTCTGTAGACCAGGCCTCAAACTCACAGTGATCCACCTACCTCTGCCTCCTGAGTCCTAGGATTACAGGTACCGTGCCTGGCACTTTTTTTTTTTTTTTTTTTTTTAAATCTTATTTTTAATTGTGTGGGTGTGTGCGCGTGTGCCTGCATAAGCCAGAAGAGGGTGTTGGGTCCCCAGGACCTATGAAGTTGCAGGCAGTGCTAAGCTACCCGACATGGGTGAACTCAGGTCATCTGCAAGAGCAGTGATCGCTCTTAGCTGAGCCATCTCTGCAGCCCCGTGGGAGCTCTTTTTTAATGAGACAGACACACAGACAGACAGATAGTATGAATGAAGTGAGTGAATCCTATAAAGGAGGCGCTTTTAGCAGCTCTTCACCTGCCCCCTGCTTCCTTTTGAACTTGGTAGTGAGGTGAAATGCCCTGGACTGTGGCCAATAACTGTACCCCCAGGGACAGGCCAGAGACTAGAGGTGTCCGCCCGATGGGCTGACAGCATCACAACTGAGTGTTACTGTAGAAAAGCATCCAATCTCCCAGAGCAGGTTTATAATTGCCTGAGAGCCACGTAGCTAACACGCAGATCCCCTGTCCACACATTCTGTAGGTGGGGCTTACCTGCTTATGTTCCTCAGGTCCTGCCCATTCTCCTTACTCTGCCCGTCATCATCTCCTAGTTCTATCTTGAGGGCAGAGCCGTGTCCCAGACTGCGGAGCAAACTTTAATAGTTTTGTTCTCTCTCTTCCTGGCCATGCCACAGAGTCACGCTGTTAGTCGGCTCCACAAATCCGAATGATTGGGCTCTGATTGATGGCTTTTCTTTCTCACGCCTGTGCTGGCTCGGCGTTAATGGTCTTGAACATGGGGCACCATGAGGGCAGCACCAGACAGTTTTACAGCCCCACATTGTTGCCGTAAAATATTTATCGCCCTAGTCTTAGTACCTTTGTTTGGATGTTTTGACTGCTTTCTCTGCTCAGCTCTAGACCATCATTAATTACCACGTGGTTAATCTCCATCATAATAGAAGCTTCTCCATCCGGTCTTTAATTATCTAAACTTCATGAGCACACTAAGTCATCTCCTGTCCATGGATAGTGACTCTAATTTGCTACATTATTACAATTAGTGACAATATTACCTGCAATAATTTTTATAGCTCAAATAAAACCAGTGTTGTTGCTGAGCAGCCCCCTCAGCCAGTGCTGGCGTGACGGGCTTCTAAGTGGACTGTGTCCTAACTGACACCGGGGCAGTGGCAGGCCCCACCCCAGGTTACAGCCGCAGGCTCGGGGGGCCTGCGTTTGTGTGGCTGTCCCTGCATTTCCTGCTGGCTTTACAGCAGCCATTGCCAGAGAGTTCCCTCACATAATTCTGTGTATGGGCCTTACGTCAGCAGTTCTACGCAGAGCGGCTGCTGCGCGATGCAGGGCAGTGTTGTCAGATTGTAAGATGAGGGCGCTTTTGTGTTCCCAACAGTATAGCCCATGGCCGCTCTTTTCCAAAACATCCTTCACCAAGTTTCACTCAAATGTATCGTTTGTTTTGTTTTTGAGAATTTTTAGGGCCACCTGGACTTAACTTACTTGCTTTTTTTAATTTATTGATTTTCTAAATATTTATTTTCTTACGTGTCTTAAGTGTTTGCCTCCACTTATATGTATATGTGCACTGAATTTTTTGGTGCCTGGTGGCTGAGGAGGCCAGAAGAGGGCAACAGAGTCCCTGGAACTGGAGTTACAGATGGTCGTAAGCCACCATGTGGACGCTGGGGACTGCGAGAGCGCTGAGTGCTCTTAAGCAGTGAGCCATCCATCCAGCCCCAACGATTTATTACTTATTTCTGAAATTGTGTGTCTGTCTTTCTATATGTATGTATGCATGTATGTGGTGTTTTGTGCTCATGAGTACGGGTGCCCGAGGAAGTCAGAGGTATTGGATACCCTGGGAAGAATACCTCAGAAATGAGGGTTCTAAGCTGGGCTTAGTAGCACACGCCTTTAATTCTAGTGTTCAGGAAGGCAGAGGCAGGTAGATCACTGTGAATTCAAGGCCAGCCTGGTCTACAGAGCTAGCTTTAGGACAGCCAAGCCTATACAGAGAAACCCTGTGTCAAAAAAACAAAAACAAAGAAAAAAAAAAAAGAAAGAAAAAGAAATGGGGTCTCTGATCGGGTAGTGGTGCTCTCAGGAGGCAGAGGCAGGTGGATTTCTGAATTCAAGGCCAGCCTGGTCTTCAGAGTGAGTTCTAGGACAGCCAAGACTACACAGAGAAAAATCTGTCGAGAGAGAGAGAGAGATGGGGGCTCCAGCTCCTCTGGCCCAGCTGTCCCTGCTGTGTAGAGGAGCCTTGTTGCTCAGTGGCCGAGTGGAGGGTTTTAGGGAGGTTTTTACCCCACCATGGACCAGTTTCCATGGACTGTAGACGTTCACACGGCTGCTACCCTCTGTGAAGCCTGAGGTTGACTGTGTTTTAAAAGGGGAGGGGGAGGCCCAGAGTAGCCCCACGCTCGGGCACCTTTCTCCAGGTGGCAGAGTGAGAAGAGAAGCCTTTTGGCTTTGAGACTTACTGTCACATGTGTGGACAGTGAACGCCGCCTCCCCCCCCCCCCCGCCAGCAGCTTGCACTCTACTCTTTCATTGGCCGAGGACTCGACCTCGACACCCCAGTGGATCCCACAGTTCTTATGTGTGTCCCAAGTGGGGGGGGCAGTGGGGGTGCAGTCTTCCACCACGTTACTCAGTGACTGGAGCAGAGGGAGGCCCTACCGCCTGAACCTGGCAGGTCACGGTGACCAGGCGGGGCCACGGGGCAGCGCCCAGCTTGGCAGGGCTGCCCCGCTTCTCCTAGCTCGGACAAGTCAGGTGGTTTCGTGAGTGTGGCATCGCTGGGAAATAAAGGGCATTTGGAGCGCTGCTGACCTGCGCAGCTGGTGTGCCAGGTGCGTGAGCAGGGGCTCTGGGTGATTTTCTCTGAAACGTCCTAGCGTGTTGGGGGAGTTAGTTAAGTTATCGTATGACAATTGCTAACGAAGGTGACCAGGTGTGTCACTCTGCTCGGTAAAGCTGTCTCCTTTCTTGAAGCTTCATCAAAGAACGGTCAAAAGTCAACTCAGTTCCTCTGAAGAACAAGAAGGCCTCTAGTTTCCATGAGTTTGCCCGGAATACCAGTGACGCTTGGGACATTGGCGACGATGAGGAAGAGGACTTTTCCTCCCCTCCTTTCCAAACTCTGAATTCCAAAGTGGCTCTGGCAACCGCAGCCCAGGTCCTGGAAAACCACAGCAAGCTGAGGGTAAAACCAGAACGGTCCCAGTCCACAACTTCGGACGTCCCTGCCAGCTACAAGGTCATAAAGTCCAGCAGCGATGCCCAGCTGTCCCGAAACTCCAGTGAGTCCATCCTGCCCCCCCCCCCCCCCGTTTCCCCAGCCTCTCAGTGGAGAGCAGCTAGAGAAGAGTTCCTTTAATTCCCCCTCACAACTTCCCATGGCTCAATTAAAAAAAAAAAAAAAATCTAAAAAGCTCAAGCTAGAGGTCTGCCAGCAGCAAGGCTTCCGGCTGGGTCTTTGCTTCTTGGCACACAAACCTTCCCTGCCCCCCCCCCCCACCTCTCCCTGTCCCGAAGTGCCATCCACAGCTTTCCTGCTTTGTTTTTTTCACATTGCTCTAGGCCCAGGCAGGTTTACAGATACTAACTAAATGATTCGAAAGGTGTCAATGAATGAATTCACAAATGGTTCACCTGGTTGGCTACCTAAGGAGGCCTTTTTCCTGTTTCTGTGATGCAAACAGCATGTGCCAAAGGGCCAGGTCATAGTCCCCTGAGCTCAGCCTGCCCATCAGGTCGAGTGGGCTGTGAGGAGTGACCTGTTTGGTTTGGGAATCGGCTTCAGTTGCTGTTGGCGATGGCGGCTTTAGATGTCTGGGGACTTTGTGTGTATGTTTCTAAGGCCCCACTGCTGTGCTTAGTTGCTCCACAGGGCTTTATGGAAATTAGCTGGCTCCTCTGAGCTGAGCAGGGAAGGGCTCTCATCCTGTTACAGTTAAAAAGGCATCATGGAACAGAGGATGTTAGAGGCCCAGAGCGTGTCCTACCTCAGGCTCTGAGAGTTCCTTTCACAGCCGCAGACCTCAGTTTGGCTGTAGGGTCTTCATGGAAATTCTGTCATTTGCCTTTGCTGAGACAGGGCCCAGCTTGAACCCACAGTGCCAGTCTGAGACAGGCATTCATCATTGATTGGCCAGGTGGCTATGGTTGAGGTTCCTAGTGACAGGAAGGCCCCTGCCGTGATCCCTGCAGGCTGCCCCGTGTAGCCCTCCTCCCCCACATGTTCTCTGGAGGGTCCCTCTGTGAACAGTTGATCCTGTCTGAGCGTTGCTGCGAGTTAGGCCCCAGTGTCACCGTGGGCATGGCAGCCAGGTGCCTGTGGCAGCTGTCTCAAGCTTCTCATCCCTATTCAGTGTTGAATATTTTCATTGTAAGATCCAGGTTTGAAGAATGTGACCCGGCCCTAAGAGGGCAGTTTCTGAAACAGTTTTCTTTGTGGCAATTAATTACCAAGGGTGTAGGAGTCAGACAGCCCCTAGACATCCCCTCTGCTTCCCCAGGCTGTTTGTCCTTCTGCAAAGTAGTCCTACATTCTTAGCAGGGGTCATAAGGGATCCCGAGAGAGATGCTGCTGAAATGGCCGGTCTATGTAGCAAGTACTTGTCCTGTGTTGGGACCTCCCCCGCAGCTGATTTAGACTGTCCATAGCAGAGTGCAGAGCTCAGCTCCTGTTGCTTCCGTGGTGGCCTGGCAGAATTCAAAGCCGCTCATTTGAGTGGGGAATGTGGATGGGGGGCCCAGAGGAACCAGCTGCTCAGCACTGGGTTGCCTGAAGCCAGAGCTTCTTGCCCACCTCAAAGGGCTCCAAGTGGGCCAAGTACAGGCCACAGTGTGCCTGGGCGTGAGGGCAGCCGTGGCCTCTGCAGGGTCAGCGCTTTAGCCTTTCACACTGTCTGCTTTAGGCCATGTGGCCACCACACTCACCAGGAGGCGCTGAGGAAATGCCGGTTAAGTCAGGAAGTTTCCTCTTCCCTGGCGTCACACACACGTTCTTAGACGTCACGGCAGCATCTGGACAGTCAGTTGGCCACAGTTGTCCTCTGTGGTTGATGTGCAGTCCCTCCTCTGCCTGGGAGCAGAGCCCTCCTGGGCCGCTTCCTCTCACTCCCCTCAGCTGGAGCTTCGGGGAGCCACAGGCCCAGCTGTGGAGAAGGCACCATGCCACCCAGCCTGAGCAGACCCCGAATGTCAGGTCCATGCTCTTCCCACGGAGTTCTCCCTCTCTTTCACATCCCTTCAGGTGACACGTGCCTGAGGAACCCCCTCCACAAACAGCAGTCTCTCCCTCTCCGGCCCATCATCCCCCTTGTTGCCCGCATCTCAGACCAGAATGCTTCTGGGGCCCCTCCAATGACAGTCCGGGAGAAAACCCGCCTGGAAAAGTTCCGCCAGCTGCTCTCCAGCCACAACACCGACTTAGGTGAGTCCCCTGGAGCCCCGGGCAGGGTAGGCACTGTGGTGTCTGGAAGCGTCTGCACTTCTTCCTTTTACTCCAGCAGCTCCTGGGCCGGGGCTGGCATTGGGGGCCTCCTGACCATGGGGCACCTATTCCAGCACTGTCTGTGCCACCTCCAGGGGTTCTCACAGAAGCCACACCTGCATGCGCCAGCGCTTACTTACTGGCCAAGGTGACCTGAAGTGGCCTGTGAGAAATGAATCTTGGCCAGTTCAGGTTGGAGGGAGCACAGCAAGAGCAATGCTGTGGCAAGTTTATTGCAGGCAGTCACACTTTTTATGCGCTTAGCAGAAACAGAGCACAATGGTGGCTGACAGGAAGAATACAGTGGTAGTTGCCAGGATACAGTGACATTTGCAAGCTGTACAAGGTATGCAAGATTAATGTCTAAGACCAATTGTCCTGTCAAGTTTTATATGTTTAGCTGACTTCTAGGGAAGGCAGAGAAACACAGGCAGTCTGATGGCTTCACTGCCTGAGGGAGTGTCCGGGTCTCTCAGGAGCTGGAAGCACACAGTGCCCCAGGAGCCATGGACTCCAGCCTGACAAACCAATGGCGTATGCCTCTCAAGACAGCTAGACCATGATTACACACACACACACACACACACACACACACACACACACACACACACA